AATCTCATTCGTCTGTCCGTCCGTCCGTCTGATCTGTCCGTCCGTCACAAAAACTTTAACCTTGCCCATAACTTTTGATTTAGTGGAGCTATGACTTTCATATTTCATATGTGTATTCCTTGTGACAAGACCTTTCTTTGGGTACCACCAAATTTGACCTTTTGACCTTGACCTTGGAGTTTGACCCACTTTTACACAAAAATTCCATACTTTTGCTTTGGCCATAACTTTTGAATGGTAAGTACTAGGACTTTAATATTTCACATATATATTCTTTGTAGCAAGACCTTTTATTGGATACCAACAACTTTAACCTTTTGACCTTGACCTTGGAGATTTCGGTACTTATGAAAAAACTTTAATTTTGACCATAACTTTTGAATGCTAAGGCCTAGGACTTTCATACTTCATATATATAATTCTTCTGATAAAACCTTTCATTGAATACCAAGAACTTTGCCCCTTGGACCTTGACCTTGGAGTTTGACCTACTTTTCAAAAATGTTGACCTTGGCCACAACTTTTGAACAGTAGAAACCAGGACTTTCATATTTCACATATGTATTCTTTGTGGCAAGACCATTTATTTGATACCATCAACCTTGACCTTTTGACCTTGACCTTGGAGATTTTTTGTACTTATGAGAAAACTTTAACCTTGATCATGGCTTTTGAATGGTAAGGGCTAGGGTTTTCATACTTCACATATGTAGTCCTTTTAAAAAGACTTCATTGGATACCAAGAACATTAACCCTTTGACCTTGACCTTGGAGTTCAGGGATAATTTGTAAATAGATGACTTATGATAGGGCGTTCATATTAGACACAATATGTCATAAAAAATGACATCTCACCCAAAAAGACACCGAAAGCGTGGGACCACAATTCTTTGAATTTGCTTGTTAATATTACTTGTAATCTTGTTTTTGTCCCCCGATTTTGCAAAAGCAAGGGGAAATTAAATCTCAGTTGTCTAGCTGTCTGTCTGTCTGTCAGTCACAAAACCTTTAACCTTGGTCATATCTTTGGAATGAGAACAGATGGGACTTTCATATTACACATGTATATTACCTGTGACAAGACCTTTATAAATACACTGTAATTTCTGACCCTGTGACCTTGACCTTGAAGTTTGACCTACTTAAAAAAAAATTGAACATTACATTGAATTGGCCATAACTTTTGAATAAGACAAGACATGGCTTTCATGTTAAACATGTTTATTACCTGTGACAAGACCTTTCTAAATTCCTTTATAATTTTTGATTGTGACTTTGACCTTGAAGTTTGACAAACTTTTCAAAAACTTCAACCTTGGTCATAATTATTTAATGAAAAGAGATAGAGCTTTCATATTACTTAAAGCTGAGACACGTTCTTCTATCAAATAAAATTCAAATTGTATCACTTCTGTAATTATTAATAAAGTTAAAGTGCATGGTTCCTTCGACCACCCATTCTCTGAAAACCAAAATCTAACAAATCTAAACAAATTAGCTTAGATAAGTAGAGGTATCCAATAAAGACAATTTCCTTTCCAAATTCTCCCTTTTTTTTATATTATATTTTTTACCATACTTTCTTCTATCTGGCTTGAATAATAGTTGAATATTGACTATTATTCTTGTTTTCGTCAATTCACCAAGTCATTTATAGCTGTACGTAATTATGACGAGACATTATTATCCTGAGTGCTGGAGATAAAAAAGCTTTTGACCAGTCTTCCTAACTCCGAATCATCAGGAAACGCATAAAAACAAGGGACGTAAATTTCCTCTGCTTATGTCAAAATCAGACACTGATGATTAGTCCCGAGCTTTCTCAAGCCGAAGACATAAAAATCAACATCATATACACAACTGCCTCATTTGTACGATATGGATTTCAAAAGAAAACCGACAGAAGGAAAATGAAGATAAATGCAGAGAATAGGTTTTTCATTTTCTTAAAACAATGTTTTGTGACAGAAACCATAACTAATAGGATAGTTCATTCTGCAAAAAGATATCAGTTTATTTAGTGATCGCTGCTGCACAAGATAATGATAGATGCAGTTCCTAGTGGTAGCTGATGATCACCAAGTCCCAGGGTTTTTGGAAAAATTTGATGTTCTTTTGTAGAAACTGGTTTCCTCTAGAACATAACAGGGAGATCACAGAGTCATATATTTACATAATCACCAGAAATCTAATGAGCTTTTCTGGAAATCGGTCAACCGACCTAAAATTTATGACTTATTAAGCAAGATTTTTTAGAGAAGAGAAAAGAACAAGAACATATCTGTTTTAGAGTTGTTCCATAAACATGCAAAATTTCAAACATCGTTAGTTTTAATTAAATGTAATCTGAAAGATACTGAGGTTTGAAAATTAGGGGAGCATTAATTGAAGGTAAACAACCGGCCAAAGATATAAATGTTGATTAGAAGCTAACCATTGTCTATACAGATGATATTGTAGGCAGAATGTATAATTTGAATTAATTTCATATGTACATTTGCTATGATAAAATGTTCACCGCCAACAAATCAATGTTAATCAATGGTACGTCTTACCTAGAAAAAAAGAGCCCCCTAGGCCAGAATGCTCATTTGATTCACTATGGCCTTGCAGTTCTTTTTCAGATTTTTGTTTCTATATTTTAGAAATAAAGTTTATTACAGTGAACATGGTGTTATGAATAGCTATTGGTCTTCTGGAAGATTCCATTATATGGGCTAGATCCACAGGTACCTAATAAGTATGGATACATCCCCCTCCCCTTTTTTCAAATGAACAGAAATATGGTAAAATCCTATAAATTCTCTGCTTTGAGACATATATTTATATTTCCTAAGTAATAAAAATGTTACCTATCATTGTGAAAAGTTTACAAAAACAATGATGCCAAGGATGACAACAGCAAAAGTTCATTTGAGCCTTTGAACCAGGTGATGTTCTAATAAATTTACAGCAACATTTGAAAAATGTCAGTGACATCACCAAGGCTACATCTGCCTCTACACAGTACGCCAAAGAATCTCATTAGGAGTATGGATATTTCCTTAAATTTAATCTGTAATTCTGATCTACAAATATTTTAATTTTTTAGAAATGTCTGAGACTATCTTCATACAATATGCTGATTGTAATAGATTTCCCATACACTATCTGCCAAAAAAAAGAACCTTGTATCTTTATCAAAGTGGTTTCTTTTATTAAAATTAAGTTATTTTTAAACTAGTATCTTTATCAAAGGTTTTAAAATTTATATCACTTTTATTTTTCAAAGCATTTGATAATCAGACACAAGTGATACACAAATCTTGAAGAAGAATATCAGTTTCACTAGTTGTTGCCAGAAGTTTCTTGTTATCAGATATATATCAGCTGTATGTAGGTGTATTATTCCTTAGTCTCAGCCCTGTTTACTTGATCTGCACTAAAATCAATAGATATGTGGAGATCTGAGAGTGCACAGACAAAGCGAGGCTACTCTTCACAGCATTTCTCTTTACTAGTTAGTTTGACAAGTATGATTTCTATTTTTACTTTTTACCCTATCATTTTTTGTTCTGTTACTTCTGTATATATTCTTACAGAATGTGGAGTCTTTATAATTATTTTCAGAAGATAAAATTTCTCTCGTTTTATTTTCATTCATTTTATGTTAGATGCCTTTCAAGACATAAAATCTTATGATAACTGTTTAAGAGTGTATACACAGTAAGATTTTGTATTATAATACAAATCTTATAATACAAATCTTATCGTGTATACCGGCCTTTACAATACAGCACAAAAAAACAATGTGCCCCAAAGACCATTTAAAAAAAGCTCAGCTTTTACAAAATTTCTTCATCTAAATTTACAACTCAGTCCTTATCTACATGTAATACCTGTCTAGTCTGTATCCAAAAATATAACAAAACAAACAAAATGAACTGCAATTCTGCTAAAGTAAATTTTTTGTCATTTATTTAAAACAGATTTTATAAAACTGTGATTCACACACTAAACTTACAGCCATTTTTTTGTTGAAGTGTCCCAAAATGAGAGAAATATGTATATAACCATGCAAAACAGACAGATACAAAAGCAAAAGTATTCGTTGATCAATAATCAGTTAGTGAAACATAATACAATGTAGCTCTGTTTCTTTTCATGGTTAACTTCACACTATCTATAATTCACATATTTCTGTCCCTCGATCTATATTAGTGTTTAGCTTAGGCTAGAAGCAAATTTTTTTCCCTTCACAATTCCATATTATTCATGAAACCCTGATTTTCAGAACCTCAGACAATTCAGACAAGTGCTCAATTACTTCATTATTTGTCTCGTCAAACTCTGGCTGGGTCTTTGCTAACAAATTCAGGTTTCTCAAGATCTTTCTGTCAACCTCAGAAAAAGCTCATTGAAAAAACATGAAAAGTTGCAACTGAGAAAATTATGCTTGCAGCAAACTCCCAGTATTCCCAACTGCTAAATTGTCTGCTCACACCAGCTAAAAATGTTTAGAAGCCAGTACCCTGGGGCATGAGAAATGTGTCAAGAGGGGAATTCAAAATAAAAATATGGCCTTTTTATCATTTCTTTTTGACTTGTCTCCCTTGTCATTTATGAAATCTTTGTTAAAACTAAACTAGTTTATGGTAATATATCTGACATCAAGAAATTCAAAGTACATGTAGTAGAATTTGAAACACAACAAATTTCAGTAAATCTTTCTCATTAATACTAACACTGGATTATGGGTTGTCCCTAAGACCCAGTAGCCATGGAATTTCCTCACCAATAAAAATGTAGTCCCCGGTTATTTTGGTATTCCTCCTAAACTTCCAATTAGGGGAGGAACTCCAGATCCCCTTCTGCTTTTTAAATGTCCTCTTCTTTTTCAATTCTTAGAGACAACCCTATTAGGGTTGGAGTTACACAGAGCTTCTTAAATAATACTCTCTACAACCCTAGAGTTTCATTCCTGACTCTAGTTCAGTGTGTTTTAATTTGTCTGTACTCACCAACAGTAGAGCATGGAGTTTGGTATCTTGGAAGACTTTTTCTATGAGGTCCTTCTCCTCGCCGGTGTACTCTGTCAGACACTGCATCTCGTCCAGGGAGTCCAGAACCTGGGACACAGCTCCTTGTGTAAAAACAGACCTTCCTCATCATCTTATACAGCAATACAAAGTGATACAGCAATATACAGGGAATACAGCAATACATGGGGATACAGCAATACAACGGCATACAATACTTAAATTCTAGTGAGTGTTACTGGTGTATGTTAGGCAATCAAAATTAATGTTTTATAAATATTTGACATTAGTTATCACAGGAATCACAGTTATAAATTAAAAACTAGAGGCCAAAAGGCCACAATACCAACCTGAGTCACTTTGGCCCTGCTGCTCTTCATAAAAATTTTTTCCCTTGTAATACATGTATTCTGATTCCCACAGTTCTTGAGAAGAAAATTTTGAAAGATTTTTCCTATATATTTCAATATAAAACTTGGATTCCCAATTTTAGCCCCACCTTACTATCAAGGGCCATGATTTTAACAATTTTGAATCCACACTACCTCAGAAAGTTTTCACATAAGTTTCACAATTTCTGGCACTGTGATTCTTGAGAAGAATTTTAAATACCCCCCCTTCCTTATATTTGCCTTTTCTTGATTATCTATGCCTTAAATAAGGCTTGGTCCTTCAATTTAACAATTTAAACTCCCTTTACCCAATGATGCCTTTCACCAATTTTGGTTAAAATTGGTTCAGTGGTTTTGGAGAAAAGTTGATACAAATTTAATTTGAAAAGTTCACAGACAGTGGAAAGACAGACATCTAGAAGGATGGATGGACAGTGGACACCAGGCAATAAGAAAAGTTCACTTAAACTTTCAGCTTATATGAGCTAGTAGTAAGTTATTTTTTTTAAATTTGGTTTTACTTTGTTTACTTTGCATCATATGGCAAGCATTTCTTGCCTGTAAAAGTTTTATATAAAACCTGGTTTTGATGCTGGGAGATCATTTAACTTGTATACTGCATTACAAAATTTGTAAAATATTTAGTCAATTGTTAATAAACTTTTGGAACTATCAATTTATATTCTGTTGTGTTTGATAAATAAAATTGTAAAATGAAGGGAGATAACTCACCAGCAGATGTGACCTCTTCTTCACTCAAGTCTGGAACAACTGGGTCATTATAAAATGTGTTCCACTTTGAACTTGACACAGCTGCCATTATTGCACCCTTAAGATTAGTTTTGAAAAGTAACATCAATGTCATTCATTTTGAACACAATCAATAGTTTTCAACAATATGTATCAAAATATATGTACATGCATAGATAAGAACATCTTGAATAGATTCTTTGAAATGGTGATAGATGCAAATTTTTAAAAAGTGGGGTCAAGGACAAAGGGATCAGGCAATGTTAAAATTGAAGCAGTTCAATAGCTTTCACTAAGTTATATATGAAGTTTCCATAAAAAGTTTAAAAACCATTTTGATCTGTTTCTTTGAAAATGGCCTATTTGCTTTAGGAAAACTGATGTCAAGGTCAAATTCAAAATAAAAATTGATGCAGTTTTATCATCAACGCTATCTTGAATGTTCCTTTAATACAAAATTAAGATAGAAAGAAAGACAGAAGGATAGAAGATGGCCATGACAAACACTATTTTTTAAGCTCAACCATGAACAAACTTATAGTATAGTTGAGCTTAGAAAATAATATCAATTTATGTTATAGAGGCTTATAAGATACTGGTACATGTAATAAAGATTCTTAGTGCCTAGTTAATCACAGACAAAGACTATTTTCACTTTGAGCTAAATCAAAATGGGTGGGCTCCTTGACACCTAATTCCTTGATTTGACAACTTAATGAGGAGCATATGACCTTGACCTTCTGAATGATCTCTTAATGCTGATCTAACCATGTGATGACATTTTCTACAGAGCATTTTCTAATCAAAGAGCAATCAAGCATCACTACATTTGGTTACCATAGTAGTTGACAATCACTGCTATGGTAATCAAATTTCATCTGCTGTGTGGTCTGGGAAAGCATATAATGACTTCATGTCCCACGCCTCTGTCATACAAAGCTCATTTGTCTACAATTCTTAGCTTTGGTGTTCCTAATTTCTAATTTTAAAGGACTGCTCTTTGAATGATTCTGAGAAATAAATATAAAGATGCTGGCAATTCTTTGCATTAGAAATTTGAATTCTCAAATGATTACAGATCACTCCCAATAAGCAGAGCTCGCTAACTTCTTGATATCAACCCTACCTAACACAATTTGTTCCTGAATTACCTTCAATTTCCTCCTAGAATTGAATTTCTTCAGTTCCTCCACTGTCTCCTGGAGATGAACTTTGGGGATTTTCCCTCTCTCCTAAAAAGGAAATAAAATCTCAGATATACCTTAAAAACTTCCACTGTTCTTGTACAATCATCCATTTCAAAAACTACTGAAATATCACTTGGAAGCACAGCATAAATGTACTTGCAAAGTTGTCATTTAGCACAAGTAGAATTCAAGGTTCTCAGAGATCTAGACTATCAGCTGATATTGCAAGACTTCAAAGAGCATCAAATATGCTACAAGTTTTAACCATGGCTGGGTGGTTGTTTTTTTTCCTCCCTCAATTCTTACTTGTTACTATACCTACTCATGCACATTTCTAATTAATGATGATGCAATTTGGCAGATTAATGGAAAAGATACACCGGTGAATATTGATATTTTGCACAGCCCATTCACTCAAAAGGTTACATGTAGCTTAAAACCAAGAATTAAGGAAAAAGAATGAAAATTATCAGGACAGGTAGATGTAAATAAAATTGATTGACAACTAACACAGTAATAAAAATAATATAACAATAAGCCTATGAGTCACACAGCTCACCCAGTTACCTTGAAATTAAAAATAAGTGTAAATAGGGAAATTTAAACAGGGCAAACTCAAAGATGATATCATTATCTCTTAACAAAATTGTTTATGGTTGAATTTAAAACATGGGAAAACCATTTGCAAGTGTGACAGCCTGTATGCAGTAAGGACTGAAAATAAAATCTCTTCCTATATACCCCCCTCCCAAACGCCCAACACAAAATGTTGAGCACTGGCTAATGACACCATAGTTCGCTGGGTTACACGTGTTATAAAATACCTTGATCCATGGATGATACAACTGACTGCTGGCTTACACAGTTGTTATAACGTACCTTGATCCATGGATGATACAACTGACTGATGGCTTACACAGGTGTTATAACATACCTTGATCCACAGATGATACAACTGACTGCTGGCTTACACAGGTGTTATAACATACCTTGATCCATGGATGCTGTAATGCCTCCTCCACTGTAATCCGTTTGCTGGCTTACACAGACTAAATCTTTTGCATAGTTAGAAATATTGAGCCATTGTTTCTTCATCTGCAAAAGAATACATTCCTACCACTTAGTACAAATCTGATATTTTTCCTTTGGCATTCTATTGACCTTGAAGAAAAGTAAAGTTTGTCTCTAAAAAAATTAAGTTTATACCAGATGTCGAATGACACAGGTAGAAAGATAAAGAAGAGACTGCCACTGAGATGAAAAATGTGCTGATTTTGTCGGACATCACAATAAACATACATATAGCACATAACTCTAGAGGAGACAGCACAGTGTTGTATTCTGCATAATCTACACCAATATAACTTTTTTGATATGATCTAGCTTACATCAGAGTTTCATCATTACAGTGGAGCCTCATTTATCCAGACGCTTTGGTTCCCAGTCAATTTGTCCAGATATGTGAAGCGTCCGGATATCTGAATTACCAGTTAAACAAGACAAAATAACGTTAAAAAATTCCGTTCCGATGAAAAATCGTCCGGATATCTGGCATCTTGATATTTGAAGGTCCACTGTAATTACATAACTAAATGTTTTTGTTCACCTACATGGTAGCTGCCTTTAATAATTTGTTCAAATAAGTGTTCTTTGGTCCCAACAAAAGGTGGATGTCCTCCCAGAAGGGTAAACAACATGACCCCACAGCCCCACACATCCACCGGTTTACCGTAGGGCTCTCTCTTGACCACCTCCGGAGCCATGTACTGGGGGGTGCCAATACGACCTGTCAAAATGTGATTTATGTTTAGTACAACTTTGAAATTGCATTTCATCTATGGAAACCTGTTGGTAACAAAAATAAAAACACTAGGTTTGTTCAATGCAAAGTGGAGTTCTTAATATGTACTTTATTATATTAAAGTGCATGCACAAATTTATCAATTTATCAAATGCACAAGGGTTAGAAGACATTTTATGACACATGGTAGACATTCTAGATTGTTACTACTTTTTTTAATTAACAGATGATTGTTTGTTGGAGGTACACTGTAACTTTGACTAAAAAGTTGCTTTTATATTTCTTATTTTTTAAAAAATCCAGTTTCATTCATGTTTAAATCTTGGAAAATATACAAATGATTTTTTTCAATCTCAATATTACTATTTCCTTGAAAAAAAAAAGCAAGCGTAAATAAAGCACAGCAGAACAAAAATAGAAAAGCATGTTTTTAATCCCACAGCATAGACACTAGTAAAATCTTTTGCTAACGAAAAAATATTTTTGTAAGGCATAATTCCCTAAGAAGAGACTGCCACTGAGATGAAAAATGTGACCTGATCTAGGTCTCTTTAAGGCCCTAATAAAAATACATATAGCACATAAGTAGAGGAGACAGCACAGTGTTGTATTCTGCATAATCTACACCAATATAACTTTTTTGATATGATCTAGCTTACATCAGAGTTTCATCATTACAGTGGAGCCTCTACTTTCGTTTTGTCAGCATGATTTTGACAGCTGAAAAGATGGTAATTGCTGTAATATATACATGTATTAAAGAAGGGTTACTGGTTGTGAAAGATGTGAAGTAAGAGATAAATGAACCTCTACTGTGACTTTTATTCGCGTATAATACATAAATCTACACTGATTGACCAGGTCAATAAAAAGTCTGCAAAATTAAAAAAAAATATACAATAAAAGCTGCCCGCCCACCTCAATTTTTCAAAAAATTCAGATGAGAACCTAGAAATTTTTTTATTATGGCCTAATAAATGGGATGAATGATTAAGTCACTGTCCACTTTGTTATCCTGTTGTAGCAGATCATATCATTCAAAACTGTAGGACTCTACACTGCTAATTACATATATCTGAAAAAAATGTTTGTGTTAACAAAATATAAACATTTATGGCAGGAATATATCATGGAAAATCTTTAATATTTAAAAATTATGAATGAAAGGGGTGCATTAACAAAATGTGTATTCTTCAGAAAACAATGTTTTCTTTAGCTCAGCTGGCCAGTATGACAAATTTAGTTTTAAAACATAGGTAATCAGAGATTACAGAGCTCACCTCAACGTGTGTTGTCTTTAAGTAAGGCAAATTAAGCTCTCACACAATTAACCAACAAAAAGTGTACATCCCAATTTTGATACTTTGGAATAGACCTATATAAAAACTAAAAACTAGTTCTTCATCATGAAAATGTAATTAAAATGCAGCATCTGAAGCAAGATTGAGAGTTTTCAATGCATCATTTAAGCAACTGGTTTATATAAGCCTTATAGTTTCTTGGTGATAGACTTGCACCCATAACTTTTACGATGTCTATTATCTGGAAAATGTATGTCGAATTCAGCATCTGAAGCAAGTCCATTTGTGTGCATGTTTAAGATGTATCATCCATGTAAGTTTGGTCAACATAGGGCTTAAAGTTACTTGCAAATGAAACCTGTATAAAAAATTAACCTTTCCACTAATCCAGAAAATGTAGGTCAGATTCAGCATCTGAAGCCAGCCTATAGAATGCACCCTTAGATGTAACATCCATGCAATTTTCATTTAGGGCTCAAAGTTACTTGGAAATTCCTGCACCATAAAAAACCTGTTTACTGTCCAGAAAATGTAGGTAAGATTCAAAATCCGAAGCAATTTTATGCATGTTTAAGATGTACCATCCATGCAAATAGTCATTATACGTTTCATTTACACAGTACCTTGAAAATGAAACCTTCACCAAAAACTTTAACCTGTTCACTCAACCGGAAAATGTAGGTCAGATTCAGCATCCGAAGCAAGGCTGGTAGTATGCATCCTAAGATGTATCATCCATGTAAGTTTGGTCATTATATGTCTCATAGTAACTTGGAAATGAAACCTGCACCAAAAACTTTAACCTGTTCACTCAATCGGAAAATGTAGGTCAGATTCAGGAAGAAATGAATACATCCTAAAGTACCATTTTGCAAGTTTGGTCATTATAGGGCTCCGAAATGAAACCTTCACCAAAACCTTTTAACCTGTTCATTCAACCCGATGTAGGTCAGATTCATCATCCGAAGCAAGGCTGGAAGTATGCATCCTAAGATGTATCATCCATGTAAGTTTGGTCATTATATGTCTTAGTAATTTGGAAATACCTTCACCAAAAACTTAAACCTGTTATGAAAAAGTATTCAGCATCCGAAAAGTCACAGAATACATCCTAAGATGTACCACTGCAAGTTTGCATTATAAAGTATCTTGAAATGAAATCACCAAAAACTTTAACCTGTTCACTCAACCGGAAAATGTAGGTCAGATTCAGCATCTGCAGCAAGGCTGGTAGTATGCATCCTAAGATGTATCATCCATGTAAGTTTGGTCATTATATGTCTCATAGTAACTTGGAAATGAAACCTGCACCAAAAACTTTAACGTGTGGCAATCGAAAATGTAGGTCAGCACATCGAAGCGTCTATGCATTCCATCCAAAGATGTATCATCCATGCAAGTTTGGTCATCATAGGGCTCAAAGTATCTTCGAAATGAAATCTCACAAAAACTTTAACCTGTTCACTCAACCGAAAAATGTAGGTCAGATTCAGCATCCGAAGCAAGGCTGGTAGTATGCATCCTAAGATGCCTATAATTATACATGGTATATATACATCTTGCAAAGCATGGCAATTGAAGCTGATAAATCAAGCAATGATAGTAAAATGTTGCAAGATTACATGAGGCATGTTGAGCAACAATCTCATGGTCACAAAACACATGCAAAGACAGCTGCAATTCATCTTATGATCTTTAAAAATCGTGCATCAACGAGTACATAAAACGTTGTAAGACGTTCGTACAATGAATACTCACTTGCAACATTTGGATCACATGTCTAATCAATATAGTGTGCATGAAGTACTTTTTTGAGGAAAAGAAAACTGCTCCAAAAAACATGCAATGAATGCGAGACATCGTGCAACGTATGCGAGAGCTCATGCGAAGCTAAAATTTTCCGATCGCAAAGTGTTGTAAAGTGTTCATGCGCCTTTATGTAGCAGATCATATCATTTAAGACTGTAGGTCTACACAGAGCTAAATAACAGGTTATATCTTAAAAAAGCCCTAGTGAACTTTTTGCTTTGATAAATTGACCAAATACATTTATAAACATTTATGGCAGGAATATATCATGGAAAATTGACATATATAAAAATTATGAATTAAAGTCAAAAAATTACTTGGAAGAATTTACCACTATTCAGTGTTTTTGAAATATTAACTTTTTTAAAAAGTCTGTTCTATAGTAGAAATCAAATATGTTTATAAATTCACATTGCCCATGTTAAAACATTGGAAGATTACTGTACAGTAAATGTTTTTGGAAAACTTTTTAAAAAAATCTGTTTTATAGGAGAAATCAAAAATATGTTGTATGGACTAGTAAATCCTCTGTATTCACCATACATAAAGTTGATGCTTAATTAAAGTAATGGGTTCTTTGATTAAAAGCAGATTGCCTTTCTATACATAATGGTTACACTGTATGTGTTATATACTAACGTCACATACATTGACAGATGTTTTGAGTACTGGGTTATGTAAGCTATATAAATAAACATTCCGTACAAGGTTGATACATGTAGCAACATTAAGATTCAAATCACAAGAGACACTATACATAATTGATATAAGCATATATACTGGTATACACAATGCAACATGCAATTTTCATTCACAGTAAAAAAAAAAAAGCTGACTAAAAAACAAAGGAAAGCAAAAGGATGAACTATTGTCTGCAACATTTCTTGCTTTCAGATTAAGCAAATATGAACACATATTTACAAACTATGCTACAATGACACAAAAAGCATGGAACCTGGAATGACCTTTTGCTAATAAAAATGACGTTTTACTGAGTGTAACATCCCAACCCCCCTAAAAAAATCACGAATTCTGACCTTCTTCGGCACATTTTAAGGAAAATCAATGTATCAAAAGCCACTCTTCTGAAAATAACAAATCTGAAATTTGGTTTGTGTTAACATACAGGAAAATGATGGAGCAGCTTGACACCTTTCTTACTTACACTACCTGGGGCTTTGCAGTTGAGAGTACTAGTGCACCTAAAGCAGATCTAGAGTGGGTCAAACACAGGGTATTGATATTGCTGTGAACAGACACTTGTCCATTATTGCTAAGCTTATACTAACCAGCAATAACTAATGGACAGTAAGAGTCAATCATTTCTGGATATTTCTGATGGACATTAACTTAACAGTCAATAGTTTTGGTCAATTAGTCCTGATAAATTGGACCATTCAGTCTAATTCATACCACACAGATAATCGCCAGATTTCCAGTTTGAAATTATAGGAGACTGAAAATTAATCAGTCATGGTTGGAAAATCTAAAAACATAAGCTCCAGTGCACAAAGTTGACTGATAAAATCTCTGTGTTTTTGATATATATGATGTATGTTGCCACCCTACATTACCAGTGTGACTGTGTACTATAGTGGTACGTCTAATGTGAGAGATTATTAAGCGGTGTAATTTGTTAGTAGCTTCTACCAGGGTCACTTGCCACACAGCTATATATAGAGAGAGCTCACCAACTACATCATTTCTCAGATCAAACCAAGGTTCCAACCCATGCACTATTTCCTCATCTGTAATGTCATAGTCAAACAACATCAATGGAGGGGGCACAACATTCAGGTTATACTGTATATTAGCACTGGTATATATAGACAAAACAGGGGATACAGTAAAGCCCCAGTCACACCCAGCTTAAAAACAAGTACATCCTGGCCAAGACTCCAAAATAATGGGAATCAGAGCTGAAATCATGTGATCAAGATCCAGGGTCATAAAAACTAGAAAAGCTCACTTTTGATCTTAGTCTCACTTTTCCACTATAAATTCTCTTGGTAAAAGGGAGACAGACATCAAAAGTGAGCTCGTCAAAGTTTTATGACCCAATTGAGCCTAGTGTGACTGAAGCTTTTATCAAGGATAGAACTGTATGTGGACTATTTTTTGCACCTATGTAGGATAAGTACAATATAATGTAATGCTCGCTGAGGAAGCAATGAATTTATGAATATGTTTATCAATATTTTGATATAATCATATACAGGTGCTCAAGTCATTATGTGTAAGCCTTGGAAATTTGACTTTCACTAAAATAAGTACACATACAGTATACATTTACACAATGTATATTCTGTTAAGACATTGAAATTTGACAAAATTCAGTATAAACATAATAGTTATAATTGTGCCATGCATGATCTAGCCAATGTGAAGAATTATAGAAATTTCAATGCACAAGCTTTCTCCATAGTTTCTAGCTAGTATATGATGTACCCTTATAATTTTCTACGATAAGGTCATTAATTTAAGCATCATTTTTAATAATCATTGATATTGGCAATATTGATTACATAACATTTCTGAAACACATGCCTCAACATGAGGACATTTGAGGATGACCTTTTACCTGTAATATGACCTTGTCTTGACACTAAACCTTCACCTTACACTAAACATTGGCCTTATATTTGGCTTTGACAAGTCTACAGTCTCCAACTCATACAGTTCATCATTTGTGATTTTTTTGCTAAGAAAAGTGAATCTCTGTATATTTCACCTTATGCAATTTATATCTATCATTTTTTACTGTGCTTCAAGACTTGAAGAATCATGACACACATTAAACAGATAATAATGTAGAACAAATAATAATCATATAGAAGAAAATTCACAAAAAAATAATATGAGGAGAAAAAAAATCATCAACAGTGAGGCATACCTCCAGATATGAAACCTGACTCAGGGAGTTGAGTAGCCACCCCGAATCCCCCCAACTTAACGGGGGCAGAGTTTTCCTTGCTGGCCAGTAACACACAGTGTGGCTTGAGGTCTCTGTGTATAATGTTGTTGGCATGGCAGTATCTTAGGGCATCAAGAATCTGTCTCATGTAATGGCTGAAATTAAATCAACAAGATGCTGAAAGATGACTCTTTTAGAATGCAGAACACCTCTACAAGAAAGGAGGAAGAGTTCTTTGTCACAGTGCCACCCAATCATTTTATTTCCTACATATGAGGGAGTGGACAGTTGTTACATAACATCAAAGTGATGACAAACAAGCCAATTTAGTTATTTTGGAATTAGCAATGGAAAACTTAAACACTGCAGTATAAGCAGAAATTTTAGTGAGGATTCAATTTTGGCATTTTTAGCAAGGGTGCGGAGATCACTAAAATTAAATATTGCTGACAATTTATTCCACATTACAAGTTACCATTATCTTTCTGTCCACCATAAAAGTGCAGAAATTATTTTTTGCTAAAATTATACAGATTTTTAAGGACAAATCATTAAATTTGCATCTTGCTAAAAATTCCATTTAAACAGTATGAAAAACCAATAGATAATACAGAAAGATCAACAGATATAGGCAAATGATGAACAAACTTCAATCAGAATAGCTCAGATTGCCTAGTTGAGCTGAAAAGCCAACACATGTACTATGAAATAGGGAGTCTCTTCTGTGTTTTTCATATAAATATTTCAAATTTTCACATAATGACAATCTCTTTCACTACAAGCTAATATCAATAAAAGGCAATCTTTTTTTGTATCTCTGTGTATTAAATTATATTGTGACTGTCAGTCAAATCCTTATTAGAGAATCTCTAGTTGGCAATATTGAACCAAAAATCAACTGATCTGAAACTCTTATGATGTCAAAAATCAACTGGCAAATTCATTTTTTTAATTCAAAAAACACTACATTTGAATGCTCGGGAAAAAAATAATAATTCAGAAACTCATTTCAGAAAATGATTTATGAATCATATTCATGCAGGTCAGAGAAATTCCCATATAAAAAGACCGATGACCAAACCTCGACACAGCTTCACTGTAGACGAAACCCATGGAGGCTCTCTTGACAATCTCAAAGCATAAATCTGCTCCATCCATACTGAAAAATAAAAAGGTGACATGGTTACACACTTATACAGACCCTATACAATCTAACCAAACTCTTGAGTTTAATATCTGTGAAACTGTTCGAAATTTGATACTTATTAGACCAAAAACTGGTCTTTTTGGCTCAAGTGTTGGAAATCTATTAGGCAAATTGTAAGCTTTACTAAAGCATTTACATTAAGGTTTTTCCACCAATGCCTATACAACTTTTCAATGCATTGAATAACAATCTTTGTCTTAATGGTTTGACAGTAGCTTATTTGTCAATGAAGAGAAAACACTGTCATGCTCATTTTCTTAAACCAACACAGTTACATCACTTTTAGCTCTAATGAGAACAGAATTTGTTCAGTTGTTTGATTAATGAATAGTGCAGTGGAATTTTTTTGCTAAAAATATTTATACAAAATTAATCTTAATGGTATACAGCAGCAGGATATTTCAAAAAGAGAAACATAAATTGACTCTCCTCCCAATACGTTACCACTTATTAGCTATCTTGGTAATAAAACAACTCATATTACTTTTTTTATATAATACATAACAAACCAACAATAGGAGAAAAATAATAAAATACACAGAGCCTGAGAAATGTATGAGGTCTGCCCTGCAGGGAATATTATTCATATCCAGCAACTAACAGAAGACCTGAGAAATATTGTAGGAGGTCACTAAGCAGACAATGGTTCCAAGCACTTCCAGGCTTGTGTCCAGCAATTACATCCACACACTTATAGTCCTATACTGCTAAAGATAATCAATTGAGAGTATACAAAACTGCTAATATGTCCAAAGACTTCATCAAAAAGATGGATGGCAAAACCTCTGCAGTTCCTTTGTCACTGCTATAAATTGTGCTCTGTAACCCCTCCGTAAAAAAATTGGAAATGACAGTACGTCATAACATGAAAGGATTTGATTTTTCAAATAATTGAAGAAACGACATAACATTAATGATTTTGCCTGGATGCAGGGCACCCAAATGTGAAGCACTGATCCCCTCTCATAGAGAACATTTATAGAATAGTCCTTCTAAATCTTGGTACATGTATATATTAAAAAAAAACATGGACCTTTTTCCTTGCTTATCTACTACCTTTACATCAGAATTAGTAGATTAGTGCTATCTCACAGCATTATCAAAATATTTCAAAAATAAAATTGCTTTATGCCAGATTTGACAGCATATAGGTATTGCCTTTGCCATGGAATCATTTCTTATGTATTGGTAACTTAACAATTTTTTTTTTTTATAATAGTAAAATAAAGTAGTGAAAATTAGAATATGAGTGGCATGTAAAATGTCACAGAAATTTCATTTTTTAGTAATCATGACAACAACAGTCATCAAAACAAAACCCTGTAAATGCAGAATTACACATCTTCTTGTAGTATCCTTTATTACACCAAGGTTTTACTGAAATCAAACCAGGAGTTGTATTTTGATAAGAAGACAAAGAATTGACAAGTAGACAAGTTACCATAGCATAAGTTTTTAATCTTTGCAAAAAAAATTAATCCCATAACTTACAGGAAGTACTTTGAAGATTTCAGGTTTTGAAAATACTCTGGAAGATATTGCAAAAGTATACAGCAAAACTCGTTTAGTACAACACGGATATTGCAAATGTACGGATATAGCAAAGTCATCTTGGATTCCCAGCCATATAAATTTAATGAATTTCTTATACGGTTATAACTCGGGAAGATAGGTCCCAGTGACTTCCTTATAACCGAGTTTTGCTGTACATTGTTACAAATTGAAGAAAAATATTCTTACATAATGGACTCATGATGATGATAGTTTTGAGAGCATTTGAGATAACATCAATTTATATCTATAGACCAATCTAACCATAGGTCCCCCCAATGATTGAAGACAAAGCATACGATCCATCAGTCATGTCAGTCTCAAGGGTCTTTAAAAGCTCAGCTCTAGTACATATAGTACCCTCATGATTATTTTAGTGTTTTGATACATTAACCTTAATTGGATTGACAATTCAAGTTCTGTGATGCTTATTTTTTCCTTCCTAGACAATACTAAAGCTATCTGTTGTTAATATGTAGATTATAGAATGGAAGTATCATAGAAAATAAAATAGAGGGTAATGTTTTCTGCACCATAGATCTCCGATTGATTTCTCTTTATTCTGAAGTTAAAAGCAAACACCGTAACAGTCCATGCCTTCATGGTCCGCTTCCTAATTATTATCGACTAAGTCATTATAACTTCAGCAGCTTGTGTGAGCAGGTTTTATGTGACACAATTAGGCTTGGTAATTCTTGTTTTGTAAATAACAGATTTAATGCTTCTGTAAGATTCCAACTCTCGAAAGCTTCATAAAAACAAAACTTTCACATGAAGACTGCTAAAAAATAAAAGTCAATTATTCTATTAATGTCTTGGTAGCCGGGAAGTACATTGTTTAAAAAGTCTGAGATTGCAAAGCTACTGAGGAAAAACTGGTAGGTTCTCATCCTCAAAAGCACAAAATTTTTTTTTCCAAATATACATGCATACAATCCAAAACTACTCTCTTCCATAATCTGGTCATTAGATCTTATAGATAGATAATTTGAGATTATAGAGCTCACCTCAACAAATGTTGTCTATACAAACAGTAAACTAGTTTGGTTTTGGTTGGTCTTAAAGTTACTTAGGAATGGACCTGCTGCTCCAAAAACTTTACTATGGTCATTCATTTAAGGAAAATACAAATTAGATCAAGCATCAGAAGCAAGTCTGGTGATGTTCATTTCTTTGTGCATCACTGACTTGCAAGGTCTCATAGTTGCTAGAGAATGAACCTGCTCAAAACTTTGACCTGATCATTTATCAAGAAAACGTAGGTCAGATCTAGCATCTAATTTTGATACAAATATCTTGAAAAGTTGCTTTGGAACTAAGCTAAATGCACGAGTGATGGAAGGACAGCCAGAAAATCAGAAGGCACTATAAGCTATACCAGCTAGCCCAAACAGTTCAGAAAACTACAGGATTTACAGCTGTATTCACTGTAGCTGCAGATCTGTAGCTCTCCGAAAAAATATATTGATAGATCGGAGAGATACATTGAAAAAACTGTGTATTTATTGCGCACAAAAAAGTGCGCTGTCGATTTATTTCAATGTTTTTAAACTGTGATCTCAAAACATTATAAGCACATATTCTTTCGCTGTTTATGACCAAACATTCCTCATAATTGTTGTTATACTGAGCTGATATTGTAATCATAAAACATTTCACTTATATATACTGCCATTTTGGTTTCAAAGATAATTCGGTCAATATGCTTGTTATTTTGTCATTTACAACCAAAATAAATCTTCCCCTTTTTGCAATTGAGGTAAATGGAAGAATAAACCAGCGCACTTTTTTGTGCGCAATAAATATACAGTTTTTTTGTATCTACGGTCTATCGGAGAGTATCTGTCTATATTCACTGGAGAATCAGTGCAGATACAAAAGTGATCGAGATGTCACAAGCAACATCTCAAACAATTTATAAGCAGTAGCTGCCTGTAACTGAGCAAGACAAAAATTCTGAAAGCCGATTGCTATTGGTCATTTGTTATTTTCATCATTTACAACCAAAATAAATCCAAAAATATAAATCAAAGAATCCAGGCATCCATTTTTTTGTATTACAATGTATCTGTCCTTAACATGCTTGTATTTGTCATAACCAGTCAATTTTTTTTTAAGTTTTCAAGCTGGTGACCAATGTGAGACATCAAAAAATTACTACAAAAAAATTAATTTTATCACATCTCAAATAAAAAGAAAATGTAATAAACAGATTTTTTTTACTTTGAATTACTTATAAAGCAGAATTTTCTCTTTCATTTTTTCACTGATGCTTAAGCACTTATAAGAATATAAAAAATTCTGTCCCACTCATGATATAAATTCAACATCCAACTACAAAACATTAAATATCCTCTTTATGTGCATATAAATATATGAGTTCGAAACTTCTTACAAGAAAATATCAAATTTTAAAGAGGAAACAAGATTACCCACCTCCTTGTCATGATAGATTTGATAAGTCCATGTTATCTACGAGATTAATCAACACCAAGTGACGAACAAAAAAGACGTGCCAAAAAAATACAGGCCTAGTTATACCGCCTCATTGATTTCGCAGCTTCATATTAAGCTAGCAGTAGTTAAACGGTGACACTTCAACTGTACACAATGTGGCACTTGGAACTCTCTCTTTCTCACATATCCGAAAGCCTCGATGATAGTCTAGGTGCCGTTATATGTCTTATAAATCTAATTAACGGAATTCTGTAGGGATTAAGGCGCGTCTTATTAACAGATCATTGTCCTCGGAAACTGAACACTTTCACAGCTGAATCAAAGTACAAATGTCATCGGTATACCTTGTAACATAATTAGGGAATCCCCAATTGGTAGATTGATTTTTCTATTATTTCTTCAGTGTTTAAATAATGCATGTTTCCCTCACGACACTTAATTTCTCCTGATTATATTTTTTTCTGCGTTGTAGTATTTTTTTTAATATATATTCCGCTAGCAGACTTACTTTGTTGAGAAAATAAGCAGCAATAAATAACAAAACTTATTACTGTTAGTTCAAGCAGACATTTCTCATTTCCCATCAGAATCCTCATTTTGCACATGATAAGAATCCATTCTTCCTTATAACCAAAAGTTTATCCATTGTTCATTCCTAGAAGCCTTTAATTATCTTAACAAGCCTTGTCCTGACTGTATCTCTTCTCTCCAGACATCATAAAATCTCGTAATAAATCCAATGTAGAGTCACAGACAAAACATTAAACCAACAGGTAAACAATAAAAACAATGCAGTAGCAACATCAATGTCCTACACCCTCTTTGAACTTTTCATATCGCTATTATACTCTGCTGCAGATGAAAGTTTGTTTCAACATATTGATCTAAGAGACAGGGATTGAATCTGAATTGTAAACACCCCCCTGTGTCAATTTTCCCTCCCT